GCAACCTCCGCCTCCTGGGTTCAGGCAATTCTCCTGCCTCATCCTCCTGCGTAGCCGGGATTACAGGCACACGTCACCATGCCCAGCTAATTTTTTGTATTTTTAGTAGAGACGGGGTTTCACCGTGTTGACCAGGATGGTCCCTATCTCTTGACCTCGTGATCCACCCGCCTCGGCCTCCCAAAGTGCTGGGATTACAGGCTTGAGCCACCACGCCCGGCCCTCTTTTTTTTTTGAAAGGGAGTTTTGCTCTTGTTGCCCAGGCTGGAGTGCAATGGTGTGATCTTGGCTCACTGCAACCTCTGCCTCCCGAGTTCAAGCGATTCTTCAGCCTCAGTCTCCCAAGTAGCTGGGATTACAGGCATACGCCACTATGCGCGGCAATTTTTGTATTTTTAGTAGACACAGGGTTTCTCCATGTTGGTCAGGCTGGTCTTGAACTCCTGACCTCAGGTGATCCGCCCACCTTGGCCTCCCAAAGTGCTGGGATTACAGGCGTGAGCCACCACACTCAGCCTGGGCCCTCCCTTTAAAAAATGATTGGTGTTGCCCCTTTCTCCTCTCTACCCTGGAGACATCAGGTTGTTCTTTCAATTGCTCAATATTCTTTTTTTTGGTTTGTTTTTAGAGACAGGGTCTTGCTCTGTCACCTAGGTTGGAGTGCAATGGTGCAATCACAACTCACTGCAGCTCAAGTGATCCTCCCACCTCAGCCTCCTGAGTAGCTGGGACTATGGATGTACACCAGCAAACCCAGCATATTTCGTATTTATTTTTGTAGAAACGGGATCTCACTGAGCTGCTGCTGGGCTGGGACTCCTGCGCTCAAGCCATTCTCCCTGCCTCCGCCTTCCACTGCCTGGCCGGGGAGCAGCGTTCAAACGTCCTCTGGGAGGGGTTTCCTGGCCTGCCAGCCTTGCTGCCTGCTGGATGAGGGCTGAGCTGGAAACGAGCCTTTGTCCTTAGGGCATTTGGGGTGGGTCTCTTGCAGGTGTCAGAAGAACCAGGTGGTGCATCCCCCGTCTTGTGATTCATCCCTGCAGAGCAGCATGTCAGGGCCAAGGTTCTGTGGACGGCTGGTTGACACCCGTGGCCCGTTTGAGTATGAAGGAGGGCAGGCAGGGTCGCACAGGGGCGCTGCATGGCACCTGGGGTCCTCCAAGGCTCTGTCCCCACCCAGCCATTCCCCCTGACCTGGTTTCTCCTCTCAGGATGTGCCTGCTGCACATGAAGGCCACCTCCTTCTTCGACAGCTGCATGTTTGATATGTGCAACTTCCAGGGACTGCAGCACCTGCTGTGCACACACATGTCCACCATGACCACTGCCTGCCAGGATGCGGGCTACGCTGTGAAGCCCTGGAGGGAACTCCAGTTCTGCCGTGAGTTGCAGGGGAGAGGCCAGACATGGTGGCTCAGGCCTGTAATCTCAGCACTTTGGGAGGCTGAGACAGGTGGATCACTTGAAGTCAGGCATTCGAGACCAGCCTGGCCAACATGGCAAAACCCCGTCTCAACTAAAAATACAAAAATTAGCTGGGCACCGTGGCAGCGTACACCTGTAGTCCCAGCTACTCTGGAGGCTGAGGCAGGAGAATCACTGGAGCCTAGGAGGTGGAGGTTACAGTGAGCCGAGATCACGCCACTACACTCCAGCCTGGGTGACAGAGTGAGACTTCCTCTCAAATAATAAATAAATAAATAAATAAATAGAAGAAATAAATAAAAATAACAAAAATTAGCTAGGTGTGGAGGTTGGCTCCTGTAATCCCAGCTACTTAGGAAGCTGAAGCAGGAGAATCGCTTGAACCCAGGAGGTGGAGGTCGCAGTAAGCCGAGATCACGCCACTACACTCTAGCCTGGGCCAGAGTGAGACTCTTTTTTTTTTTTTTAAGTGTTTCTGTGCAGCCCAGGCCATCACATGTGGGCACATGGTCCAGGCCCTAGGCAGGGGAGGCGACAAGGTTGCCTCCCAGCTCCTGGTGTGGCCCAGCTCTTTGGGAAAACTGTTTAGGGCAGGTCTGTCCCCTGAATCAGACCTCACAGGTGGCCCCAGTCCCTTGCGGGCCAACAGCTCACCTGGGGCATGTCTACACAGCAGCACTGCCAGTGGTGAGTGATGGATCCATCTGCTCCTGCCAGCCAGGCTCCTTGGGGAAGCTTTTCGCAGTTACTCTCTCTTCTCGAGATTGGCCAGAAGCCTGGAGCTGGGGCCTGTCCTTCCTGTTTCCCACCCAGTCCTGTGGCTTGTTGATCTTCTCACCCAAGCTTCTCCCTCCACTAGCAATGGCCTGCCCGCCCAACAGCAGATACTCCCTTTGTGCCAAGCCGTGCCCTGACACCTGCCATTCAGGATTCTCCGGCATGTTCTGCTCAGACCGGTGCGTGGAGGCCTGTGAATGCAATCCGGGCTTCGTCCTCAGCGGCCTCGAGTGTGTACCTCGCTCCCAGTGTGGGTGCCTCCATCCCGTAGGCAGCTACTTCAAGGTGAGTGGCTGCGTGGACCTCTCAGCCCTGCAGCCAGAAAGGGCCTGCTCCCTGCTGTCACATCCCCTGTAGGTTCTATCTTTTCTTTTCTTTTCTTTTTCTTTTTTGTTTGAAACGGAGTCCTGCTCTGTTGCCAGGCTAGAGCACAGTGGCATGGTCTTGGCTCACTGCAAACTCTGCCTTTCAGGTTCAAGTGAGTCTCCTGCCTCAGCCTCCCGAGTAGCTGGGACTACAGGCGCATGCCACCACACCCAGCTAAATTCTGTATTTTTAGTAGAGATGGAGGGGTTTCACCATGTTGGCCAGGATGGTCTTGATCTCTTGACCTCACGATCTACCCGCCTCGGCCTCCTAAAGTTCTGGGATTATAGGTGTGAGCTACTGCACCCAGCCTCTTTCTTTCTTTCTTTTTTTTTTTTGAGTGCAACTGGCACCCAGGCTGGAGTGCAGTGTTGCGATCTCGGCTCACTGCAACCTCTGCCTCCCAGGTTCAGGTGATTCTCCTACCTCAGCCCCTGAGTAGCTGGGATTACAGGCATGCACCACCATACCAGGCTCATTTTTGTATTTTTAGTAGAGATGGGGTTTCTCCATGTTGGCCAGTTGGTCTCAAACTCCTGACCTCAAGTGATCCGCCTGTCTTGGCCTCCCAAAATGCTGGGATTACAGGCGTGAGCCACCACACCTGGCCTCAGATAGATCAGTTTTGGTTGAAGTGATGAACAGACACAGAAATGATGGAGTGACTGAAGCAGTGAATCGGTGCTGAGCTTTTGCAGTGAATCTCGGAGCTTCTGGAAGAGAAGATGTCTCCCCACGATTTGCCAGTGATCTGAACAGCTCTGGTGGGCTCTGGTGTCAGATCTGGGAAAAAAAAAAAAAAAAAAGCCAAACACTTGTCAGGTGTGGTGGCTCACACCTGTTATCCCAGCACTTTGGGAGGCCGAGATGGGTGGATCAACTGAGATCTGGAGCTCGAGACCAGCCTGGACAACATGGTGAAACCCCATCTCTACTAAAAACACAAAAATTAGCTGGGCATGGTGGTGGGTACCTGTAATCCCAGCTACTTGGGAGACTGAAGCAGGAGAATTGCTTGAACCTGGGAGGCAAAAGTTGCAGTGAGCCAAAATTGTGCCAATGCACTCCAGCCTGGTCAACAGAGCAAGACTCCAACTCAAAAAGAAAAAAACAGAAACCACTTTCTCTTCCTTTCCTGCTGTCTTCCCCCAGGCAGGGGAGCAGTGGTATAAGCCGGGTTGCAAAGAGCTGTGCGTCTGTGAAAGCAACAACAGAATTCGCTGTCAGCCCTGGAGGTGTAAGTCCCAGGAGTTCTGTGGCCAACAGGATGGTGTCTATGGCTGCCATGCCCAAGGTGAGCCGGGTGCTACCCAGGCAACCCCAGGCAAGGTGACGGGTCATGCCCAAAGCAGCTTCCCCAGACAGCTGAGTCTCCACCAGGGCCTGGGAGCAGGCGGCATTTTTAAGGACCCAGAGCATGAGGTTGGGGATGGCAGTGCTTCTCTTCGGCACCTCCAAGCCAAGCCAACCACACTTCCTAGGGAAACACCATGTCTGTGGGTGGGCCATGGGGACCATGCCAATGTGGCCTCACCAGGATGGCAGCTCTGGGTCAGAGCTTCCAGAGCATGGAGCAGTGAGACTGTGAACTCCATCTTCTCCTCAAAGGTGCCGCCACCTGCATGGCTTCAGGTGACCCCCACTACCTGACCTTTGATGGAGCCCTGCACCACTTCATGGGCACCTGCACCTATGTCCTGACCCGGCCTTGCTGGTCCAGGTCCCAAGACAACTATTTTGTTGTGAGCGCCACCAACGAGAACCGTGGGGGGAACGTGGAGGTCTCCTACATCAAAGCCGTCCATGTGGCGGTGTTTGACCTTAGCATCTCACTGCTCAGAGGCCGCAAGGTCTTGGTATGTGTCTTCCTCCTGCCTCCTGGACCCCGAACACGCAGCCTGTCTGCTTCTCTCCTGGGCCCCTCCTTGCCCACATGCCCACCTCTCTGGCTCCTTGGAATACCCGGGAGGCACCTGCAGCTGACCCAGACCCTTTTCCTTGCACCCCCCTCCTCCCTCTGTGAAATACTGACCAGCACCAGCCCCTCCAGCTCTCAGTTTTTTGCCCTCATCCTTTTTTTTTTTTAATTAATTTTGAGACAGGGTCTCCCTCTGTCACCCCGGCTGGAGTACAGTGGTGCAGTCATAGCTCACTGCAGCCTTGACCCTTTGGGCTCAAGGGATCCTCCTGACTCGGCCTCCCAAGTAGCTGGAACTACAGACATGTACCATCACGCACGGCTAATTTGTTTTAATTTTTGTAGAGACAGGGTTTCTCCATGTTGCCCAGGCTGATCTCGAAACCCTGGCCTCAAGTGATCCTCCCACCTTGGCCTCTCAAAGTGCTGGGATTGCAGGAGCGAGCCCCTGTCCCTGTTTTTATCCCGAGTTCCTTCTTGACTCTCCTTTCTACGTCCTCCCTGCCTCTGCAGCTGAATGGCCATCAGGTGGCCCTACCTGTGTGGCCTGCACGAGGCCAGTTGACCATAAGGCTCAGCAGCTCCTTTGTTCTCCTCTACACGAACTTTGGGCTCCAGGTTCGCTACGACGGGAGCCACTTGGTTGAAGTGACAGTCCCCTCCTCCTATGGCGGCCAGCTCTGTGGGCTGTGTGGTGAGCTTCCTGGGCACCTGCGGGGAAACCTGGGACAATGAGTAGGAGTACGACCTGGTCCCAGTTCCCCCCACATCTCTCTGAGGTATTCTAAATGCTTGTTTTTTTCTTTTTTCTTTTTTTTTGAGGCGGAGCTTCGCTCTTGTTGCCCAGGCTGGAGTGCAATGGCATGATCTCAGCTCACTGCAACCTCTGCCTCCTGGGTTCAAGCGATTCTCCTGCCTCAGCCTCCTGAGTAACTGGGATTATAGGCATATGCCACCATGCCCAGCTAATTTTTTGTACTTTTAGTAGAGATGGGATTTCTTGATGTTGGTCAGGCTGGTCTCGAACTCCCAACCTCAGGTGATCCACCCGCCTTGGTCTCCCAAAGTGCTGGGATTACAGGCATGAGCCACCGTGCCTGGCCTTCTAAGTGCTTGTTAACTGACTAATTGATTGAGAACATTAGGCATGAAGGTAGGTGTTAAGGGAAGATGG